GCACACGCGCCCGGCGTGAGTTTTAAGCCACCGGGTCCGGGACACGAACCGTGGTCGACTACGTGGGAGTCCAGCGACATAGCCATTACACTAACTGCTGGTTCCCAAGATCATATTTACAAAACAATTTTCACCATGAACTCAAAGAGTCCACACTGATACCCTTTCTCAGTATCGGTGCTGGAAATACGTAGAGGAGTTCTGATTGATGATGTCAAATCCAAGATCCTGAGTTTTCCCCAGATAACCTCATTTTCTCATTTTCCCAATCAATGGACTTAAACACCATGCATGAAAATATCAGTGTTTGGAATTATAGATGTAATATGAATACTTAACTTTCTTTTCCAGATCTTTTTGCTTCAAGCATGCAATTTTTTTCCCCGTAGGGTGGATGTATGTGCAAGATAGAGAAAAAGAGGGAAAAAAAGCACATCCCAATGGGCTCTATTCCCATCACAATTATTTTTTCCTCCAGTTCTCCATCCTATCAGGATCTTGGACTCATGTGTGTGTGTCTGGCACATTTTTCAAGCTGTCAGGGCTAAGATTTGAACCCTGGTTGGCCATGTGGGATCTGGCTTCCTCTGCTCAGTATCTAACCTCTGTACTACAGAGCCAGCACTCGGATATGTTTTTTTTATTTTACCAAGAAGATGGGAAACAAAAAAGGCTGAAAGAGGAAAAAATGGGTAATAAAAGAATAATGGAATGGAAGGAAAAGGAAAAGAAAAGAAATTGTTCATACTTGTCTCTAGGCATCTAAGCTAGTAAGTTCCATGTGCAGAGGATCTTGCTGTAGTCATATGACCTTCCCTAGACTCAAATTCTTACTTGGCTGAAAGCCAAGCCTTATCTGCAGTCCATGGTCAATGCACTTGAATGGTGATGGAGCCAACAAAGATTGGCAGGTTAAATTGAATGGTTCTGGCTGCATACAGTGCTAATATTTGGCCAGTTTGGTAAGAGTCCCATAATTTTATTCTCTTCTGAATTGTGAGATCAGTTTTAGTGGGACTCAGATTTTAGAGACGTGCAAAGAAAACTGACGTTATGATTCAATGCAGTTCCTGAGGAAACATATGGAATTTTTTGGCCATATAGTCTCAGCTTTTTGGTTCATTTGGCATGTCTCCATGCTAAATTTAAAAGCAGACGTCAAGCATAATTATTATATGTATAGAATTTCACCTCCCAGGGATTTATGTGCCTCATCTAGAAAATGAGGGGTAGACCAGATGCTCCCTAAAGGGTTTTCCAGAGCTGTGTTCTCTGGTTTATGGATTTGAGCATTGTATTTCACTTTTTGTTTACTACAAACTGAAAACTGTAAAAAAGAATGATACCTAGCATTTAATTTCCCAACCAGGTTAATAGCTGTCCTACAACTTGTGTGTCTGAAGGTTTATGCTACCTTCAACCAAACAGAAAGGATAGGGCAGCATTCTGAGAAGTCACTTGGATTGTGATCTTCTACATAAGTCCCCAGTCCAGGCATTTGCAACAATCACCCCATGTCAAAGTGTGCCTTTGTGGGTGTATATGAGAAGGAATGAAAATAAGGTACTAAACCAAAACCAACCATAGCAGTCAAGCTGGGTGGGTTTTGACCCAGAACATGTATTTATTGGGGGGGGGGTCTTTTTATCCTTCTTTTTCTATTTTAAAGCAAGTAATCTATAGATGACATTTGCTTAGTCCCCCCACCCCCGTTTTTTTTTTTTCTTTTCT